CATAGATTTGCAAAAATATATTTATGAATCCATTTTTGCAAAAATATGAAAACAAGTGGGAAATTGCTCTTGTATTGTATATAGTGTAGTTGTTTTTGTTAATAAATTAAGAATATGCTTCCGAATGATTATTTTACCGATCATTTCCTTCTATCATGTATAATTCTTTGTTTATTTCATTCTATTAAATTCAATAAGATTTCCTTTTACCTAATTTCGTCAATTTTCAACTTATAGTTGAATGTTATCAGCATCATTATTCTTATTATCCCTTTTCTTCTATACAACCGATTCTTTTTTTACAGTTTTATCTCTCCCTTCAGCCCTTCGATAAAATGCTGATAGAAAATTTTTATTTACACATACTTGATGGAATTTGAAACATGACATTTAAAGACACCATGAGAAAGCTCACTTTTAGGGAAATTCATGAAAAATTGGAAAATTTCAATAATCATCATAAACATCAAATCAACCAATATAGCTATTGTAATTATCCTTTAACTTCGACTTAATGGCATTGAAGCAAACATTTTAAGCTATGATTGAATTTATTTGAAGCATGATATTCAAAGATATCGCCGGAATTCTGATTTTCAAAAAATACAAAATTTTTGCAAATTTTCGAATAAATGAAAATAACGATTATTGCTATCACCTTCATCTCCGAACCCGGTCAAAACGAACATCCAAACGAATTTTTTAAGCCGTCATTCAATCAACTCAGTACGTTTTTTTAGTTATCGTGGGACAACCGATTTTCGAAAAAATTCAAAAATGAAAAAAAAAAATCGATAAATTAAATTTTAATTAATGGCGATCGATAGGGCTTAGCAATATCTACATTTGAAAAAAAAAGGAAAATTCAATTACATTCATTCATTAGCAAACAATTGAAAAAAAAACATTAAAACAATAAATCCAAAACTTAAATTTGAACGATTACACAAAAATAAATGTTTTTCGTCCGAACAATCATTCCCTGGACCCCAAAAAAAATCGAAAACCTCCCGGAAATCCATTTTACCCCTCAACATGACGCTCACCCTACCCCTATAACACTGAAATCCCTCGCCCCCATGAAAACCGCATACGTTGAAGTGCTTCCCACTAGCAAAACGTATCGGCAACGTTCCTCGGTCCCAGCCGTTCCGAAAAATCGTTGTTATCCTCCTTTATTCATCGGTTCCCTCACAACTCCTCCTCTGAACCTCTCCTTCAGCCCAACTGCTGTACCCTTGCGTGCACTCACCATCGCTATCGATTACTGACCATTTTCAAAATGGCGAATATCGCCCAGGAGCAAATATATTCCCGCAGCTCTCGAATGAACGTCACGTTGAAACTAGGAAATATTCACCGGTGGGAGATTCAATTTAGAGGATTTTTGAGCGTGTAAAAGTAAAAAAATCTTGTGCAATTAAAAAAAATGTATTTGACACCCCTAGATTCACCTAAATTAAATTTTACAATCAATGTTTACATTTTTCCTTCGATAACAACTGCGTAAATAAACTTCTTCAGGAGAAGATGGAATATTCAATCAACGTATGCAGTCGCGAAAAGATGAAATTTGTGATTCATAGAAGATTCAATTTAGAGGGTTTTTGAAACTTGAGTGGTCGCAGCTCTCCACTGACCGTAGTTGATCGCACGGTAAGAGAATCCCCGCCCTGTGTATTTTACGATTTCGAGAAAAAAAAGTTGAACAAAAAAAATGTATTCCAGGTTTACAGGTAATTTTCAGTTTTCAATTAATAGGAAATGGAGATATGGAAGCGAAATAGTTGTCAGATAATCCAAGAACTTGATTTGAAAAAGTGTAAAATTATGAAATTTTTGAGGTTAAACGTGGGGATTTTCAGCGAGTCGAGTTTTTAGAAGATTTTAATAATTCATTGGTGTAAGTCTGGACCGAAAAACATGTTGATGTGTTCCAGATATTGGAATGTAGGAATACAAATTTTTATGGATTTTTCATTTACAAAGTTTTTGTGTGAAAAGAAAAAAACAAAAAACGGCGGTGGCACTTAAGGGTTAAAGGTGGAAGGCTCAAACAGTCATATGAGCAATTTTTTTGCAAGTACGAACGGTTTTACACATGATACAAAAATATTTTGATCCTCCTAGATTCGCTTCAATCGAATTTTTCGCAAATTTCACTTTCATGTTAAATAGATGTGATTGTCAAAACTGGATGAAGAATTTTGTACTTGAAGTTAACATTTTCCTTTCACTAAAATCTATTGTATATAAACTTCTCCAGCAGAAGATGAAAATATTCAATCAACATTTAAAATCATGAAGACGCTGAAAATTTGCAAAAAAAATTTCGCTAGTTTCAATTTTATATTAAATATCGTAATTAAATTTGAAGTTTTCCATTCAATAAATAACTTCTTCAGGAAAATATAAAAATATTTAATCAACGTATGAAGTCACGAAAAGATGACGAAAATAGTAATTCACATAAGATTGAACTTAGGGGATTTTTAACAATCATATGCGCAATTTCTTTCAAGTTCAAACTATTTTGCACACGGTACCTATAACAATATTTTACCTCTCGGGATCCACCTAAATCGACCTGCTCGCCCGTTTAAGCTTCATGTTAAATATACGCGATTTTCGAAACTAGATAAAGAATTGTGTAAATGAAGTGGACATTTTTCTTTCGATAAAATCTTCAATAAATAAACTTCTTCAGCAGAAGATGAAAATATTTAATCAGCGTATGATGTTACGGGAAGATAGTGAAAATTTGTAATTTTTCGCTAGTTTTAACTAAATATCAAATATTGTAATTGCATTCTACATTTATCTTACGATAAAATCTCGCGTAAATAAACTTCTCCTGGAGAATCTGAAAATATTCAATCAAGGTACACTGTTAAAAAAAAAAAAATTTCATGGACAGTTGACTACTAATTTTCAGGACAGTGACACTGAATGCGATTTAGGAAAAAGAAAATCACAAAATTTCAGATTGCATTGAAAATTCAATAAAATTCCATAATTTTAAGCAGCATAAAGACGAGAATTCTATAATTTATTTGAATTTCCAATCTAATATAAATATTCAGCGCCAAATTACATGGAATTTTCAGTGAAATCTGAAATTTCATTTTTTTCCCCCGTAAATCGTGTTTGGTATCACTGTCTTGAAAATTCCAGAATATATTTACCGGAATTTTCCTGGTTTTCCATTTATTTTCAGGGAAAAAGGAACTGAAATTTACAGTTTTCTTTGATTTTTCCACGGAATTCTGAATTTCCAATAATGAAATTCCTTGAAATTTTAGTGGTAATTGAATTATATAAAAATTTCCAAAAAGTGTACCAGAAATTTCAGACAAAAAATTTTAACAGCGTATGAAGTTACGAAGAAAAGACGACAAAAATTGCATTTCACATGATTCAAATCAGAGGATTTTTACGGGTTTAAAGGTCAAACAATTATGTGAGAAAATTTTCTTCAAGTGCGAACAATTTGCACATGACAATAGTACATTACATGCCCGAGCCTTGGAAAACAGATCACCGTCCTCCACGTGCAAGATTGCCTTCCGAGCCGAAGGCGACGATGGCAAGCACGTGGGGGAGGGTGATGTTTTCCATGGCGAGGTGTGTATATTAATTTTCATGTCCCGTGACACAAAAAAATATTTTCACACCCCTAGAATCGCCTAGATTCAGCTTGGTCGAAAAAAAGGTCTTCATAAAGGGAAGCCTCAGCAGTACCTCCCACCTAGAGGTAATATTTTATCCTATTCATCTACTCCAGACATTTGAACTCAACAACCGGAATAAAACGTCCCTAGATCGTTATTGACACCCCAATAAAAAATCTATATCTCCATTCACTCCGAAATACATCCGAGATGTCAAAAACTATAAATTACACGTCAACTACAAGGACGAAAGGTCGTTTCTCCTCATGACAAAGCGCATCCCCAATAAATCATCAATATCAATTCGCCAAAGTCGAAAGGGAGAACCCCGGAGAAAAAGCAATCTTAAAACAATGAAAATGCCAAGTATGTTCTGTTCTGTTCTCCTCAGTTTTATAGTACAAATCCAGGAAGTTGTACGCGCGCATAATCGTCCTTCCACGAACTAAACGGCCTAGAGGTTCGACCCTCTAGTCCCTCTGAGGTACCGTTAAGCCTTAAATCATCGCTGCAGAGAATAATAAAATGTTACAATAAATTTTTAAGAGAAGACAGCTGAACTGTTAAAACTTTTTACTCCGTTTTAAAGTAGTATGAATAAACTTCAGTTGAATCGTTGAGTGTAAAGAAAAATAAATTCAAAAAGCCAAAAAAATAAAAATTATTCATCACTGGTAATTTTCCACATGATCCTAACTTTGATGAGTGAAAGAAGTTAATCCATCGAATTTTCCTTTTTGTCATTCCGGCCGTAAGGCAGCGTTTCACATATCTCTGCCTACGGCCGTCATGACAAAAAATATTGTTCGTCATACGGCCAAAAAAAAATTTTCTGACAAATATGATTGCAGCCCTCGCCTTCGGCTCGTGCTGCAAACCTCATATTCGCCAGAAAATTTTTTTTCGGCCTAATGACGAAATATACTATTAGTTATTTCTTCAAACAATAGTCGCTCGTTTGACTAGGGTGTTCCGGCATAGCACGCCATTTCGGTCACACAGAAACATAAATTATTTATTACAAAAGTTTAGCACTGGCGATAATTTTCATATTGGGCACAGAATTTTTATGTATTTTTGTCAGAGTTTTCGAGATTTTTTATAGATTTCAACCTTCTTTATAACCTCGAAGTTGATTTTCTCTTAAGACAGTATAATTTTTGCACTTCTAGAGTAATTATTATCAATAACACTAAACTGCCGATTGAGCACAAACTGAATTAAAATATGCATATTTATACTAATATTCGTTTAGAATTTATTTCAGATTTTAATCTTCAAAATTCAAGTTACGCTTATCCTACTTTAAACAAAAATTGAACGACTCACCGAGTATTTAAAATCAATCCTCAGTACTTCTCTTAGTTCGATTAGAATTGGGAAAAAATCCCGTGATATCCTTTCTTTATTTCGATAATGCACACACTCCAATAAATGAATATCTCCACACAGTTTTGCAACTCACAGCCCTTAATCCGGCAGTTGTGATATTAAACTTAGCACTTTATACTCATTCGTTAAAGAAAAAATGAAATAATAATTAAACAATAAAAAAACTATTGCACGATTGCACAGAATGTAGAAGTGAAATGAATAATCTCCAGACGAGGGGCACATGAACAAACTCATCCACTTGGCTTGGTAACGCGCAACCGACTGGTGAGGCCGTAGCCCGTGGAAGGGACGAAACCGAGAGAGAAACGAATTGTTGGGCGTGCGGGCTTCAAAGCCGAGGTAGAGTGGAGGTGGATGGTTGGCGTCGTACGTTTAGATTCGAACGTCCCGGGACTTTTTGTTTCCTTGGATTTTTGCGTTGGGGTGAAGTGTTCATTTGTGGAATACATGCATTCATGACAAAAGTGATGACGAGAAATTATTCAATTTAATTAAGTAAATCGGATTTATATCAAATGAAGTTTTTTATCATTCATTTTCACTACGGCTTAAATTTTATAATATTCATATTCATCATTCATTGTTATAATTCAGTTATAAGTCGCTGCAATTTAGTGAATTTCCTAGTTTTATTTTCTTTTTGCGCTGGGATGAAATGTTCATGAGAGTAATGGGGAATTATAAAAAAATACGAAAAATGCTTGAATTAAATTAAGTTATCTCGATGTTTATCAAACAAATGGTTTTTTCATCATTCATTTTTATCATTCATTTTTAAGGATATCGAAGTACTTTGGCTATTTTTTCTCCCTTGGAATGCTTTTCTACTTTTGTAGTCAAACGTCAAAAAAGCTTTCATTTGGGCATTTTACAATGAATTTGAATTTCGATACTGAACCGTTAAAAAATATTTTAAAAATCTGGAAAAAATAGAAAGCTTACTCCTGGAGGAAGATTGATGAAATTATTTAAAAATTGCAATCTTTGAAAATTACCAGCATTTTCTATAAATAATTTCTGAACAATCAATTTTCCAACATAAAAATCAAACGTTCAGAATCGTAACAAATTTATTCACATTCAAAGTTTCATAAGAAATCGATTTCATGCCTAAAAAATAAAGTTTCTGAAAGTTTAAGCCCTTTCAATTATTTATTGATAAACAACGATTCTTGAAAAAATAATAATTCTGCGCAAAATATAATTTAAATGACGCTGAATAGTCATGATTTTTTCAAATTTTTCTCACGCAATTTAAATGACAAATTTGATGATTGCAAACGGTTGAATCTATAGTGTGGTCTGTACCAAACGGTAAAAGATGCTTCGATATCTTCAAGTCTCAGAAATTTAGTGAAATTCCTTGTTTTCTTGTATTTTTGCGTTGGGATAAAATGTCTGTGACGACAATGGAATAACGAGAAAAGATACGAGAAATGATTCACTCGAATTAAATGATAATAGATTTCATCATTAGGTACACAAAGTATTTTCTGACAAAAGTGAGTTTATAATCCGAGCCGAAGGCGAGGAATATAATTACATTCGTCAGAAAATATTTCTTGAAACGTTTAATGTAAACTATTATTAAAAATAAAATAATATGAAATTGAACTGAACGGAGAATTATGAAAAATTCTCATATTCAAGTTATCGCGTTTAATCGGTTTCATCAAGAGCGTTAAGTAAATCTTATTGGTTCGAACTCTGAAAGATTCAACCTGTTCTCGAGATACCTGGGAAGTTAATTTTTATTTGATCGGATTGTTATCCAATTCGATGGTCAGGTTCGAGGGTCGGGCTGTGTCAGAATTAATTTTTTTTAGGGGCTTATTTTCTAATTTTTTACGCTCTTTTTTACCTTTCATGCTCGGCTTGAGTTGTAGTCAGGGCCGAGTCGAAGGCACAAATATTTTCTTTGATTTTCTATCTTTGGGATTTCACACTTATTGAGTGACGTTCTTCAAACGAAAATTAGAGCCTTCACATTTCTACAATGATACTTGATTTTTTTATTAACCCTTGGATTTAAAAATTTTTAATGATAAATAGTGGACTAGCGGGAAAGAAAATAGATTGTAGAGATTTAGTTATTTTTAAGGCATGAGATTTCATGTTTCAATTCATTGGATTCACAAATTTAAACAATTTCACTGATTTTTAAAGAAGGGCTCAACGTGAAGAAACAAAATGCATATGATTCTCATTTTCATGTAAAAATCGTCACTTTATCCTGCATCTGATTTCTTTTTTGCCTCCGAATGGAAGCATTGTATTCCATGGATTTTTCGATTTTCTAATTTTGCGTGAAAATGATGTAGAATGGTCTGAAACGTAAAAATACAAAGTTTTACGACTGCGTCTGTATGCGTGCATGGTCAATTTGGCCGACTTGATGGTCAACTTTTAGAAAATCGAAGGAATAGACGGCTAAAAAAATTCAAAAAAATCTGAAATTTCGTGAGATTATAGGTATAAATGTGGACTAACTCTGTGCACCGGTTCAGCTGAATCGGTCTAACCGTTCTCGAAAAAAAGCCATTCGTTTCTAAATCCTTTTTCGTAAATATCTCGAAATCTATCCATCCGATTTCAATTTTTTTTTCAAAATACTCGCCTCGATATCTTCTATCTTAATCAATCAAAATATGTATACCCGTTCATACTAAATTTCAGAGATATTAAAATTTTTTCATTTTTCGCTCAAAATCCTTGTTCGCACGCTAGTTATTTTTTGAATTGATATATCAACTTGTTTTTAATTAATGATCAAGTGTTAAAGACAAAAAAAATCATTTTTTAATTCTATTATCTCTGCAGATGAAGCTGAATTTTCGTTCGACCTAAAAATTTAAACAATTATCTAGATTTTTGGTTAATATCATAGAGAAGAGTTGAACGGAAAGGGGCGAAGTTCAGTTCTTTCTTTCAATTTTGTCCTGAAACATGTAATTTTTCCATTTATTCACAGATTGGAAAACCCTCATCATCTGAACAGACTACATGATTTTTTATTTCGTAAAAAAATGTCATTAAATTCTTAATATTTTTAATACCCGTATTAAATCACCCAATTTTTTGCATAAATATTCTATTATCTTCATTATTCCTTTCGTGAGTTAGAATAATTTTTCTAGTGAAAAATTTCCCACAATATATTCAACACGACTTGACGAAATGTTCAAATTCATTTTTTAAAAGAATCATAAAATTGTTGGGGCGGACTCCGAGGCGGAGATGATGCAGTCCCGGGACGGCAGGTTTTTGCGCACGGCAGGTCGTGCATGGCAACCCCTGACGCGGACACAAGTCATGGTTAGAAGGGGCGGAAGGGAGGAGAGAGCGAGAGGGGTGATCAGGGCGGGGCCCTCGACAATATTTTCGATGTTGTCTATATATCCTGATTAATCTTTTTCTCAAATCAAAGTGAAATTAATTGTTTATTTCTTTCTGAGTTTCTTCAGAATCGTGACGAAGTAAATATTCAATAGTCAGGGGTCACGAGGGCTCAGTGTCGATCTGGTCCTGAAAATGATGACGTTTTGGAGCAGTACAGAACCCATCCACGTCGGAAGCTTGGTCGTAAATCTTCGGAACGTGTTGAATGTTGCAGAGAGAATGGGAATTGTGATGGAGACAACGCGTGCCTAGTATCTACATTCGTGTTATACAATTGTCCCGGATTGTTGACGAAATTTCGGGAGTTACTGGTGACCGAGTTATAGGGAATTTTATTGATGGGGTCCTGGGGAGTCAGTCAGTTGTGAATTTCACGAATCCGGAGCGACGTTGACAACAGGTTATTTTCGGTATTCTCGAGGCGAGTTGCAATCGTTGGAAAATTGATTAGAGTGCATATTTTTAGGCGCAGAGGTTCGAAGAAGATTTTAGGTCTGTTGATAACCGCGAGATACGGGAGGAAAATAATAATGTTATCAGTTACATGCGAGAGGTAGTCGTCGTAATTAACGGATACCAGTGGTTTTTTTCATTTGAAAATGTTAGCGAGGACATACGTCCTTTTGAGAGTGGTTGTTCATCAATAAAAATGATTCTGTTATTTCTTTCCTCCTGTAATTCAAGTTATGATGTCATTTTGAGTATTTCAACGGATTTTGCAAGATTTCGATGGAGATACGCCCTTTTGAAACTACATTTTTTTATATTGGAAATTTGGGCGATCTCCCTTGGCAACAGATAACAGTTTTTCACTATCTCGACAGTGCCCCCAGCGGTGGCGTTTGTCACTCCGTAATTTCGATTTTCTGAGATGGAAGAGCCCCGACTCATGGGAGTAGGGGATACCCTCAAGGGTTTTGTGGTGGACAACCGACTTTTTAATACATTCAAAATGTCCTTCTCACTTCGACTTTGTCACGTGTGCGTAACATCCGTGAATCTTTGGATTTCTCTCGATTCAAACCGCCCTTCTAGAGGTGGCGTCATTTACTCCGTAACTCATGTTTTCGGGTATTGAACAGCCCCGATCGAAATTAAGGATAAATTCTGGAATCGTATTGTAATTACGTGATCCTAGAAGAAAACAGAATAAATAAGAAGATTGAGATTTTGTTTTCGAAATCTATCAAAATCTCACACAAATAATAAGCTATAATTATAATTAATCTATAATTAAAATGTTTTTAAAAAATTACGTTAGCTCCAAACGGTCAAATGTTTGACCGTTCTAAAAATTAACTCTCAGTGTTTTAACCTCAAAACACGATTTTTTTTAGTTAGAAAATACTCTATTTTTAACATTTAAATTACAGTAAAATGTAGCTGTGATCACAAAGAATTTCAGAAAAGTATTATCGGAAATGAATTCTAAAAAATTTTGAAAATTTTTATCCAAAAAATCATTAAGGTCACACCGCCACATTTTTCAAGGACCAGAAACATTTGATGGAAAATTTCGGCGATTTATTTTTTAATTTATTCTTTATTTAAAAAAGTGTAGACATGAAATATAAAATTTTCATTTTGGAATAACATTTTTTTTATTTAAAAGAGGGAATGTAGCAATTTTAAATTTCATGAGATGTATTTTGCGGAAAGTCATGGAATGAATAGGAACGGAATACAAAATGAACAATGACGATTGTCGGTAGGAAAGACAAAAAAAATTCGAATTCGTATTTTGATCACAAAAGTCAGTTATAACGTGAATTGACTCCTCCTTCTTTACTTCCTACATCGGTCTATTCTATTTTCTAAAGAGGTATCAGCTTATGGAATCTGACAATTCTGAA